CCATATGGGAAGAGACGAACAGCTGCATCTTAGAAGGCCACTCACTGGCTTTTAAGACTCCAATCACTACTCACCACAGTAGGATGTAGAAAATTGTCCTTGTTGGACTATGTTATGTCAGTTGACTTAGCTCTCCCTGGAGACTGTGGTCCTAAGTCCCCAAGTCCAGTCACTCATTCTTTCAAGGCATGGGTCATGGCTAAGAAGTTTTCATCTTTGCCCTCTGTTTGCTCTACTGTATACGTGGATACACACACACACACACACACTCTCACACACACACACACACACATATATATACAGCACATAGAAATACATATGTAGAAATATCCTCTGCCAAATATATATATGCTCTTGGGTATAGTCCTATTCACCTATCCATACCTGTTCAGCTTGCATGTCTGCCTATATATCCACTCATAGACTGTTATTAATGAGATTGCAGATTGTGTATGTAATAGTATTTATTTTGGTTGTTTGTAACTTTTATGCACCTCTCAGTGTCTTCCTTTGCCTTAATGATATTGTGCTGATCTCTTCCTTATAGTATACTCCCTTTCCCTTCACCTAAATTAATACATGTCTACTATCTAATTAGTGATTTTCCTCCCTTCCTTCTCATTTGTTATAACTGTCAAAGGAAGTTTCTTTCTGTATGTAAACCTTTTCTTGACTTTTTATAATCATATGTAGGTATTAAAACCTAAATCTCGTGTAAGGATTAAGTAAAAATACATGTGAAGAAAAGAATGTACATTTTACAATAGTGGTCTCATATAATATTTGCCCTTTTGTGATTGAATTATTTCACCTAGCACTATGTCCTCCAGGTTCACTCATATTATGTTTCATGGCATAGCATTCCACTATGTGTATGTATCATAGTTTACTTACCTATTCATCCACTGAAGGACATTTAGGTTGTTTCATTTTCACTATGTGAATAATGCTGTGATGAACATGGTTGTTCATGTATCTGTTTGTGTCATAACTCTTATTTCTCTAGATTATATACCTAGTAGTGGGACTGTTGGATCAAACTGTGTATCTATTTCCAACTTTTTAAGGAAGCACCATACTGTTTTCCACCATAGTTGTACTGTTTTACAGATTCACCAAAAATATATGAGAATTCTAACCTTTCTATATCCTGGCCAGACATTGTTGTTTTCTATAGCTACAATTATTAAGCACCTATTTGATGTCAGACATTTTCATACACTAGCTCAGATAATCACAATAATCCTCCTATATAAGGAACATTACTCCCATTTTGCGGCTGAGGAAGCTGAGGCTCAGTGGTGTGAAACAGCCCAATGCCACCCAGGTAGATAGAGGAAGAAGCATAATTTCAATCCAGGTTCATTTTTTACTGCAAAACTCAAGCTCATTCCATATGCGATGTTGAAAAAAAAATCAGTTTAGCAGAAGGTACCAGCAAAATATAAACATCCTGCCATGCTGGGCTGTAAATCTAATGGATGGCTATGATATCTGAGACCTTCAGATTATGGTAATCTTTGGAGAGATTTGGGTTAGCATGAGCTAAGAAAGGGTACCCACTTATTTTTGGAGATTTCAAAGAAAATGTGAAACTTGCCATGTGGCATTCCCATGTTATTCAGACCTAATGCTTTTGTATTATTATTAATTGCAAGTGAGTGAGATTTCAAACTTTTTCTGTAGGAGATTCCATGAAGAATATTTTTATAAAAGGGACACAGGTAACTATTTAATTTTACTTATTTATTTGCAGGAACCCACTTATCAAACAGGCTTTAAGTGTGCTTAGGAAAACTTTGGGATTTGGAGTCAATCTGCTCTGTGTTCAAAATTAGCCTTTATGTTTTACTAGCTTTGTAGTCTTGGATAAGTCAGTCACCTACCTTTCCTGAACTTTGGTTTATCCACCTATAAACCCATTGCCATTGTGTTGATTCCAACTCACAGTGTCCCTTCAGGACAGAGTAGAACTGTCCTATAGAATTTCCAAGGCTGTAAATCTTTATGGAAGCAGACTGCCACATCTTTTTTCTGAAGAGCAGCTGGTAGGTTCAAACCACTAACCTTTTGGTTAATAGCTGAGCACTTAACCACTGTGCAAAGTTCCTGAGACTTTGTAGGTGTTCAATATCTGTTAATTCTCCTTCCTTTCTAGCACTCTCAGAATATTCTTCTACATGTCCATACATACATGTATACACATGCAAATATGCATTCAAGAAACAATTGGGATGTTAAGCTTTATTTGAAATCACCATTTTTATCATAGAAGAATTCAAAGAAAACTGGCTATATGCATGGACAGTTCATGAATCAGTCAGTAAAGAATCAGCTAATCCAGTTTTTAAATCTGGCAAACTTGTAATGTAACCAGATTGAGGGAGCCCCATATGTTTATATCATAAAGTTAACAAAGACTAGGACATGGTGGTTCCAATCCAACAACACACCAGTTTTCTAGCTTGTCACATAGACTTAGAACTAAAGGCATGACTGTGTTGTTGTTGTTATTATGTGCCATTGAGTCATTCCTGACTCATAGTGACCCCTCCTGGGGTTTCCGAGTTGGTATCACTATGGAAGTAGATTGGCCAACCTTCCTTCTGAGGAGTGGCTGGTGTGTTTGAACCGCCAGCCTTCTGGGTAGCAGTCAAGTGCCTTAGGCACTATGCAAAGGTATACTGATTTTGTTTCCTTACAAATCCATAAGCTTTTCTAAAAGTGACCTACAAATAAATCTGACTTTTCTGGTCATCTAAGGGTCATCATATTTTTCATAATTACTTGCAAACCAAACAAGAGTCTTTTTCATCTGTTTCCAAAGCCAAAATTTCCAACCTATTGAGAGAATCAAATTTACACTCCACAGAGTATGCAAACTGTATTTTCTTAACACATAATTAAAATATTATGGCTTTTATGCAATGTATATTTTTCTGAGAACAATAGCCTGGTAATTCCTAGCCAGCTCGCTGATTGATATTGCATTATTACCACAATGCAGCAGAACACAGAGTATGTCACAGGGTGCAAATGAGTCAGAGGGCCAACTCCATGATAACTAACAATGGTCATCTTGCCTTGGAGGGAAGAACTTTGCCCTGGTTCCTACAGACCTGGAGCTAGCCTGGCTCCTATTCTGATGGTGCAGAAGTCTGTCTTAGTTTCCTAGTACTGCTGGAATAGGAATAACACAAGGGCATGGCTATAAAGAACAGAATATTATTTTCTCACAGTTCTGGATGCCAAAAGTCCAAATCAAGGTCTAGACCACGTAATTTCCTTTCCTCTAGGTAGTTCCAGGTATTCCTTGGTTCTTTGTCTTGAGGAAGATCCTTACATGGCATCTGTCTTCCCCCTGTGTGTGTGCATCTGTGTCTAATTTACTCTTTTTTTTTTTTTTAATTTTGTTGTGCATTGGGTGCAAATTTACAGAGCAAAATTTGTATTACATTCAACAGCTCGTGTACATATGATTTCACACCCCAATTACCATTAACATACTCTCTTTGTAACTCAAAAGTGATTGGGTTTATGATATACCTTACCCCAATATGGCCTCATTGACATAACAAAGAAAACACTATTTCCAAACTGGATTATATCTACAAGTATAAGGGTTAGGATTCCAAGACATATTTTTTGGAGTCAAAATTCCATCCATAACAGGGTCTCAAGTCTCCTCATCTATAAAATGAGAGGGTCTCCAAATTTCCTTCAGATTGCAGTTACTTACCAAATAACACACAATGAAGCAAATAATATAATAAAAGTTGTGCTGGTTTCTTTTTAGCAATTTTGTATTCATAGTTCCAGAAGTTGTACATAGTTGAGAAATACATAAACAACAATGGCTTACATTTTATTTTTTTCAATCTGTCAAACATGCCTGGATTAGTATTTGGACAATCCATGGACATAGAATGACAATTTTCCATTATTTTATCACAAACGGTAAAATGCTGAGTCAATCTGATAATCTCTTTTCTATAGGCTTTACCCAGGACATGCATATGGCCAAGCAGAAGGCAGAATGGCAGTCCTTCTTGTGGTCTCTTATTGTCAACACAGAAATATCACAAATCTAAAACCAAAACATATTTCAAAGATCTGATTTACTGTCACCCCATGCTCAGTGTTGGAAACAAAAGAGAAACTGGCATTCCAAACCTTGGTTCTGACTTAGTTCATACTTGTGTTATTCTATCTGCTAACTTTTGAAAGTCTGATTTATCTGTGTTAAAGCTTTCCATCCATGTAACTTAAGGTATTTCAAAGAAAGAGATGGAAGGAAGAGGCTGGCAGTGGTTAAGAGTCCTGAGGTCTGAGGATAAGCAAACATGCCTGAACAGCATTAGTGTCTGTGCAAAGTTTTCAGCAAGATGTCTGCTGGAAATCCACTGGAATTAGTCAGGGCCAGAATACCAAGCAACAACAATCAGTAGTTTCCAATCTTGCTCCTGTGTACTAGTGGTCCCTACTACGTAAAGTTGTGAAGGTTGCTCATTCTCTCAGCACATATTTAGTGAACACCTGCTATGTTTTGTGCAAGATATGCTAGGTCCTAGATGAGCAACAGTGAGCAAAAAGCAGACATAGTTTTTGCCCTCATGCACAGCCAAGGATTAATGAGACAAGTACAAAAACAATTAGCAGAAAGCACGCAATCAGAGGTAGCTATTGCTAGTATTACAAAATATATATACTTTTTAACACACACATACAAAAAAAAAAAAAAAACAGGCGTTTGTTGTCTAGATTTGCTAGTCACTGGTAGAATCAGTTCTGTAACTACACTTTGTTTACATAGTCCCTTGATTTTAAACTTTTGCAAAGTCCTCAGCGATTATGTGCATTAGCAATTAAAGTCCATGGACAGAGAAAAGGGGTGTTTTCTTCCAAAATAAACTCTTTCAAGAGGAGCATATAGACAGGCAAAGAGATGTAATTAGCTTGGGGTTGCTGTGAGCTTCCCTGGAGCCCGGCATTGTACTGACCTGCTTCAGCTCATTGGTGAAGTACACGTAAATCACAGCCACACACAGGGTCTGCAGAAGCACCGTGAAGATCAGGAAGAGCAGGCAGGTCTGCCCGAGGCTGGGGCCTGTGGGGTTTGGGACTTCAACAGCCGTGGTCCTGCAGGTCCGGTGTGACTGCCACAAAGCCATTCTGGCAGCAGATATTGTAAGTGAAAGCACAGCGGAGGCGCACTTCGTAGACTTTGTGTCAAAACTGCCAAAAAACGAAAGAGAAACTAAAGCAACAAATGTAAAAGGTCAGAGGCGGCAACTACAAAACCTCAAGAAGTTCTCTTCCTCCTGTAACAAGGTCTGAGGCCAAATGCTAGGAAATGAAAAGGGCTTGTGTGAGGCTTAAGCAGTTTCCTCCCTCTCGCAGCCTTCTCTGATTTCTCCGGCTGATTCTTTTAAAAAAAAAAATGTTTGTTTTAAGAGTTTGTTTTACATTCAACATTACATGTACATTTAGTTTCACTCCTCATTTACCATCCTCAATCCTAACCCCGTCTCCTCCCCGCCCTGCCCAGTAACCCCCCTTCCTCCTGTGTCCCTCATAGTTATGCACTCCTCTGTGTCCTGCATGGATTTCTCCATGCGAATGTTGTCCCTCTGGTGCCCCGGGGTCGATTGCTCCAAGGGATGCATTTCCATAGAGTATGTGGGTGATTCTGGGGCTGATTCTTAAGCTCCCACATCATATCTCATCTCAGCAGCCTATCATTGGGAATAGATCACAGATCTGATCAGGACCTGAGGCCCCTAGGGTCTGGAGATGCTGGCTGCATCTGGAAAAGTATCCTTTGATATCTTCATATAGGTCGCAACTGGCCCCACAGTGTAGTAGCCTGGCAGTGTGTGTGTGTGTGTTGTGTGTGTGTGTGTAGAAGAGGAGGTGATTAGCGAATGGCCAGAGATGCTCAGATTGCCTGGGCTCAGATCCTGCCTCTGTGGCTTCCTATCATGTGTCTGGTTTCCTAACGGTCCTGTCCCTAAACATTAGCACCTGTGTAGTGCCCTTACTTAACAACTCCACACTCTCTGCAGTGTGCACAAGATACCCAAGCAAGCAGGTGTCCAGAACCCAGGTCCTTCCCTGTGACTACACCAGGTCAGGTCTATAGCCTCTTCTTCTGATTAAATGAGAAAGGAAGAATGAACTACTGCTGCCAAACTTCCCTAGTCTCTTGCAGACAAGATAAATTCACTTCCAAGAATGGACTTCTCCTACATCTGAAGATCTACAACTTATACTAACAAGGCCAGAATTTGTAGAGAAGAGGAAGACAAGTCATCTTGGAGGGGGTGGTGAACACCTTCTGGAGGCTGCCCCTACCATCCATTTGCAGATGCAGAATGGCAGTGAGTACACTTGCTCCCTGCCTTCTCCTCCTGGCACTCCAGCTGTAAGTTGTGGGCTAAGGGCACCATTCTGAAGCCAACATCTTAATCTCAGTCATAGACGCGCCATGCAAGAATGATCAGACACCAGGCCCCACAGACTTTGGGAGTATGAAGTCAGATCCCAAAATAAAAGATTTACCACAGGTCAGATAAGGACTTAAGGCTAGCACTTGGTCTGTGAGCACCTGAACAATGTTCTTCCCTCACAAGGCAAGGTGACCATTGCTCTTAGTTACTACTGAGTTGGCCCCCTGACATATTTGCCCCTTACGGTACATGCTGTATTCTGCTGCATTGTGATAATGCTGTATCAAATCATCCAGCTGGTTAAGAAATGCAAGGCTAAGGTTTTCAGAAAAATATAAATCGCCGGTTTGCACATGGTGTTGACTATTGTGGCCTTGCTCTAGGGCAGTGGTCAGGACTTTTCCCAATTCCCTTCTTAGGACTGAAGGGAAGTGTGGAGGCTCATTGTAGAAAAGACAGGTGTGAGGTGTCTGTGAGCCCACGCCATCTTCACATTGTTAAGTGGTTTTCCCGTACTTAAAGTTGGGGCAGTATATGAAGACTTTATTCTTCCTAACCTCTGCATTTTTGCAAGTCATCTCCCCTTGTGTGTGGAGATGGGCTCCATAAATGAGGATTCATTCTACAGCCAGCTGAGGATGAAGCTCAGGGGTGCTCTTTGGGCTGTCCTGTGAAGATGGATCGGGAACGGTGGAGCTTCTCTCTCAGCTTCTCTGTGCAGCCAGCTAAATGATCTTTAGAGCCAGCAGAGAACAGGGCAGTGTGGTGGTTAAGTTTGTGTGTCAACTTGACTAGGCCTGGTTGAGAGGCTGGGCAGCTGGATGTAGTATATTTCCCATGATAAGAGTGGTAATCAACTCCATGGTGGAATCTACTGTGAGCAGCTGAGGAGCTGCCTTTGGGTATGTGGTCTGCTTCCTGTATATAAGAAGAAGCCTTGAGGAAAGGCACGCTTGAACTCTGCATGTAGCCGTGTCATTGTTCAGCAGCCTGCCATGGTCTGCAGACCTTGGGACTTTCAAGAGACTTGAATTAATGGCCTGCTGTGTGTTGGAAACATCAGAACTGTGCTTTTTTACTTGTCAACCTTGGGTTTGTCAGCCTCAGCAGCCAGCAGCTGTCTGAGTGAAGAAAAGCCTCTAGCTTCAGTGGGCCAGGAGCAGAAGGTAGAGCTACAATCCAAGGTTGAAGGGCTTTCACCCAGCCTCTAGAGCCTGGCACTTTGAACTCAGACTTAAAGCCTCCAAATTATAAGAATAAACTTCTGTTTGGTAAAGCCATCCCATTTGTGGTATATTCCTGTCAGAGCAGCACTGTTGTTGTTGTTGTTATTTGCCATCGAGTCAGCCCCGACTCATAGCGACCCCTCCTTGGGTTTCTGAGGCAGTATCACTACGGAAGTAGGAATGCCCAACCTTCCTTCCGAGGAGTGGCTGGTGGGTTTGAACTGCCAGCCTCTGGTTAGCAGTCAAGTGCCAGAGCAGCACTAGGTAACCAAAACAGGCAGGAATGGAGTCTGTCTCCTGTGAGTCCTCTATCAGGAAGATGATCAGGAGACTGGGTGCCAGTGTGGGAGACACCTTTGAGGAAGAACAGAGAGATACTTGCAGCAGGATTCCTGGCTGTGGAGGTCAACCAAGCAAAACTGGGAACTCCTGGAAGCAGGCATCTCTGATTCTTGTGAGGGTGGGGGCACTCCCCATCTCTTCTCCACCTCTTCACCAAGGAAGAATTGGAGGGCTGGGTAGTTGAGGGAAGAAGAGCCACCAGTAGGTACTTCCAAGGAAGGTGGGTCTTTTCAGCAGGGCAGTTTCTCCCCTGGCAATATCCTGCGCTCTGATTCACCCTGTGAACTTTTCCATGTGTTTTGGAAGGCACACAATTGTGAGCTCATTGTTGATTTTCAAAACAATGTCATGCAGCCACCTGGTATTTTGCTTTGAGTCTTAGCTGACTTCTACTTTTGTGAGGCCAGCACCAGTCCTGTGGAGATGGAGTGGAAACTCAGAGGTGTTTAGTTCAATCATATACCTCATTGGGCTTCTGCAAAACACACAGAACTAATAGGTAGGTAGGCAGATAGATAGATAGAGTGGCTTCCTTTTTCCAGATGGGAAAGGCAAGTGAATGTTTTGTGAATGCAAACCAATTCCTGAGTTTTGCATTTCAGAAAATGACTCAAACTTCCAATTTTTCCATTAGCAGCTGACTGTGGAACAGAACCCTTAAATAAAGAGAACAAATGGCAGCCCTCCCCATGTGTCAGGCATGTCATGAAGATTGTCTTCCCTCAAAACAACTCTGTGAGAGGTAATGCTATAATCAACCCCATTTTACTCAGGAGAAGACTGAGGCTTAGAGGAATCATGCATATTTTCCAAGGTTACACAGTTGGTAAACACTAGAGGCAGGAATCTAATCTCACTCAATCTGATTCACATTCCTGGCCTTAACCACTTAACACCACCACTTCCAACCCCAGAAGCAAAGCCCATTAGAATTAGGAGGGAAAAAGAGAGCAGCTACCTTAAGAAAGTGCTTTAATAACAAAAAGACAAACAACCCTATCATGAAACGGGCAAAGGACTTGAGTAGATAATTTACCAATGAAGAAATTCAAATGGCTAACGAGACAATATTCAGTGTCATTCAAACCAAAAACCCACTCCCACTGAGTTGATTCAGACTCACAGCAATCCTACAGGAGAGAGTAGAACTATCCCCATAGAACTTCCAAGGCTATAAATCTTTATGGAAGCAGAGTGCCTCATGTTTCTCCCATGGAGTGGCTTGTGGGTTCAAACTGCCAAACTTTCCTTTAGCAGCTGAGGACTTAATCATTGCCCCACCAGGGCTCCATTCAATGTCATTAGTCATTGTTGTTGTTGTTATGTGCTGTGAACTCATAGTGACCCCTTGTGTTGGATTGGGTTCTCTAGAGAAACACAAAACCCAGCAAAGT